TGCTGAATAAAGGAAAAAATAACACCAAAGGCAGCATTAAACACAAGAGAGGAGGAACTTAGAAGAGTTAGCAGTACTATTTTTGTATTTAACCATACAGAGTGATTTCAGATACTCAGTGATAGAGCATTACATATCTCATCTCCCTTCTTCCTACGAGAGTCTTTTCAAAGTAAGGTTTGATGTGGTTTTTTACCTCAGGTATCTCAGGAAAGGAAGGGAAAACAAAATAGTGCATTTTGACAGGTATTTAAAAAATGTGTTTAATATAAGAGGTGCTTATAAATGTGACTGGAGAGAAGCTCTTTCAAATCAGTCTAGTTAGTCATAGTAAAGGGAGCTTTTTCATCTTAATTTAAATGGAAAGTTCTACCTGACATGTTAATTGTTTAATGTCCTCCAAAAAACGTTGTATTGCTTAACACGTGCTGCTCAGTATGGAATTGGTGGTTCTGTGCAGCTTTTAATGGCATAAGAAGTGTTGGAGCAAAATTACATTGAGCTCCAACTTCCATTATTTTTCATTCCCTTTCAATCAGAAGCCAGATCCAAGTACCACACTGGAGTCACAGCAAGACTACCTGAAAAGTTATCATGCCTCCACATGTGGGGGAAAAAAAAGTGGTTTATTAAAAATCATTTAGGACCATCACTGACACTTGTACTTTCTGAGTGTAGTATAGAAAGTATGGAGTAGTATGGAGTAGCCTGCAATATTCCAGATTATGGAAGAGCAAGAACACTAGCTTTAAGTGGCAAATAAACCAGTAATACTGAGTAAATGTTAAATTAAGTTCTCTGAGGGTCACTATTTTTATGGATAACAAGCACATATGTTTGAAACCGTCAGAACTATGAGAACCCATACCTCTTTCAGTTTGTTTCGAATTAACGTAGCTGAAGCATTCAAGGACTCATCATCCATATCCACTTTAGGTATTTCTGGTAGTTGTGGACCAATAATGACGTCAGTATTGTCCTCACTTGTTCCAATGAAGGAAAACTTGTTACCTTCCTCTCTCTTCCTCTTCCGTTCTTGCAGGTGAGTTGTACGAGGCATAAACCTATCAATTCCACTGTAAGCTGGAACTGTTCTTTGCTGCATTAAGGAAGCTGGTGGAGTAAATCCTCCTGGAGGTACACTTGGAGTTAGGGATGAGTTTTGACCGAAGTACCCAGAAGTTTCAGCATGATTGTTATCATAGTGTGGAAATGTTACCAGGCTCTGATTATGATTCCCAGATGGATACCCTGTGTTGTGGGATACCCCAAGAGAACTTGTAAAGCAGGATGGATCCCAGTTACTGGCTGCATGTGATCCTGATGTACTCCATGAACAGTCATGCTCAGAGTTCTTTGAGACTGTCTTCTTGGGGCCCTCTACCTTCTTTAACACAAAGCAATCTTTAAAACAACAACAAAAAAAAAGCAGCTTCACTGTTTCATGTCATCATTAGTTCTAACACATAAGAAGAAATTAATACAACTGCGGAAGCAACACCAGTCACGTTCCATTCCCAACCACCTTTCTGTGATTCTTTTTTAAATTACACCTTTCAAACTAATTTTCCAGCCTAGTGCCTCTGCTGGTTTGTAATGTTGAAAAAAAAAAAGGTGTTTTGATGTTAAAAATCAGTGGATTTATTCCCTTTTAATATCCTCACACACTGAATAACCATACCCAAGTATATAAGCACAAGAAAGGAGAAGCTCCTGCTCAGTGATTTGCTAGTTCCTCAGCTTGCCCAGACTTCAGTGCTGCCTGGGAACTCTGCACTACAAAAGCTTTTGTAAACCCAGTCAACTCTTAACATTCCCCCAGTGCCAAGACGTGGAGAAATATTTTGTTGAAGGTTTTGGTACAATCACCTTCCTTCCAGAACTGTCCCTCTGGGCATGCCTGACTAAGCCAGAACAAGGGCAAAAACATGATCGCAAATTTCCTGCTAGTGCTTGAAATTTCTGGTAACAGTCTGAAAAGAAAACAAGAAGTGAAGGAAATACTTCATTATTAAAACTTAAACATTTCTTTACTTTAGTCTTAACCAAAAATGAAGTTGCTTTGAAAAAGATACAGTTGTCTAATACTGAGAGATATCTCCATTCTGCTGTAAACATACTTAAAGTGCATCTTTAAAAGACCTAGATAAAAAAGTATTTTCTTTAATGGGCACTTTAACCAAAACCCCACTCACCCTTGAAGAAAGATGTTAAGATTCTATAGGAAATTTAATCACAAACCTCTTTGATTTGTTGCTTTTGCTATATACTTTCTTCTATCTTGCAGCTTCTCTCTGGTTTCTTGGACTGTTTCGAACTCTGGAGCATAGCACACGTGCAGCAAACTGCCAAAGAAACTTCGTTCATCCATTTTCCTCTTGGCCACCCTGAGGGAAGTGAAATCGTATTGGCAGAAATGAGGATTTTACTTCCAACTCTCTAGAATCTTAACACACTGTAAATACAGAAGGTGGAAGAGACTGAGACAGCAAGAGGCAGATACTGCCTCTCCAGTACCTTGCACACTGCAGTTTTTGGAATTTTATAAGATAAACTTCAGTAAATTGCTCTGCTGGATATTCATCTAAAGCATGATACTCCTCAATGGCACCATATAATGCAAATTGTTCAACCAGTTCCTTCATGACACCTAAGGCAGGAACTCCCTGTATCAGCAAATAGCGAGATTCCAAGTTGATAGTGTAAACCTGCAAAAAACCAAACCAACAACAAAGAGTATTAACTGTTCAGAGAGTTGGTTTATTGCAGAAGTAAGGCATTTTCTCCATGTTTTCTGCTCTCCAAATCCTCTCATGATGCTGAAAACCCCTATGGACTGTTTTGACTTGACTCTTGCAAGGACTGTTATCTGTGCCCATCACTGAGCAGGAACTAAACCAAAGCTTCTTCCTCAAAACACAGATGAAGGTTGACTTTTCTGCACAGGGTCAGAGTACTGACATTTGCTGAGCAAAATCTCTTAAGTCTTCCCAACTTCCACACCAGACTGACTAGTAGAAAGAAAAAACCACTGAAAAAACTGTCGTGTTCATAGGCAGAGGGGTCGTGCAAGTGAGAAAAACACAAGGAGAGAAAAACCAAGCACTACGATTCTCTGTGGCAGATCCTGTGCGTGCAGAGCTGTCTCCTTGCTACAGTGACGATCCAGAGGTGTATGTTTTTAAGACACACAGATAAAAACCTGGACGCTGAACAAGGTCTTCCCCCAGCAGGTGAAAACCCAAACCAACCATTCTCTCCTACTCGCGGACTTAAAGCTTTGTGACAGCTCACTACGTACAACAAGAAGCCGAACCCTAAGATTAAAGGAAATTCATTCCGAGTTCGTTAAGGGGAAAAAAAACCAAAACCGCGCAACAAACGAACCCAAAACGTAAATACTCAGACTGCATAAATTACGCATATTTCTCATTAGAAAACGAAGAGCAGATTGC